TTACATTTTATTTTTATAATAAATGCAGTAGAATGTAGGAGAAAGTGAGCGAGAGTGAGCGAGAACGAGAGAGAGAGAGAGAGAGAGAGAGAGAGAGAGAGAGAGAGAGAGAGAGAGAGAGAGAGTGTATGCGTGTGTGTGTGCATGACGGCGAGTATGATATGCAGGGGACGAACAGGGAAAGTGAAAGAGGAAGAGGAGAAGGAAGAGGAGGAGAAGAAGAAGAAGAAGAAGAAATAGTAGAGAGGGCGAGATATAGCAAAAGAGCCGGTGTGTTCGTAGGAACGTAAGTGGCCTCGTTGCTGGCCTCTCGATATTTGCTCGCTTGCGTCAGCGAGCCCGTTCCCGCTCCGCCGTAGAAAAACCATCGGGAATCGATTTCCTTTCGAGATATTGCCTTTCGATTCGACATCCGGAGTCGATGACCCTCCGAGCTGTCGGAAAAGCTCTTCGAATCGTTAAACTCGGCAACAGCTCCTCGCGCCGAACGCTGCGCGTTTCAACCGTCGCGGCTTCTCCAGCCCGCCATTTTTCTCGCTGTCGCCATTTCAATCGCGTTTGATCAATTATTTATGCAAAAGCGATTCCCGGTCTCCGCAAACTTGCTTCAATCGCGCGCGAGCGTGCGATAGAGAGACAGAGACAGAGAGTGGCGTCATCGATCTCCTCTCGTCAGTTTAAGCGCGCGATTCTCAAAGTTGAATTTCTTTCGAAAGTGTCGCTTCAAGCACCGCGAGGTTACTCGCGGTGGTGGGAAACAGAATCGAGAGTACAAAGATTGCTAGAAAGAGGAAAAGAGAGAAAGGGAGCCAAGTAGAGGAGGAGGAGGGGAGAAGAAGAAGAAGAAGAAACGGCGGGCGGAGCAAGTTCGAGAGGGCAACGTCGCCGCTTAGCGTTCACGAGGTTAATTAGATGATTACGTAATTACAGGCCGCGCGTTATTGTCCTCGTCGGCGAGGCGACGGGCTCATCCGATTCGCGCCTCGCAGATCGATTTCTTTTTCCCTATTCTTTTTCCCTCGACCAAGTTTGGACAACCAAAACTTGGCCGGCTTATCAATCTACCTTTTCGCACAGCCGCGTTATTCGGTTCGCGGAAAATTCGTCGCAGTCGCGTTCGAGTGACGACGCGTACATACTAATTTCACGAGGATTTTTCTTTTTTCGTCGCGGTTTTTTTTTTTTTTTTTTTCCTCCCACACGTTCGGTCGAGTCGAGTTCGCGATCGGTCCGCTTCGCAGAGCGTTCCTCTTAAAACGTCGCCGAAGCCTCGCTTCATAATGCTATTTTACTACAAACTCTTGGGTACAATGCAAACGCGACTACCAAAGCAACGCTTCACAACGAAAATTCCTCTTACACTAGTCAGAACCGTCTTCCTTCCTCGAGAACCGCCTACAAAACGAGAGAAAGAAAGAGAAACACGGGGCGGCGTTTTAACGTGAACGCGCTCTGCGCCGCGCGCGCGACTTGCCCCAAAAGATCGCGTTCGATCCGCCATTATTCGAAGCAATTTTACCCGCCTGCGTCGTTTTCCACGCGAGATCGATCCGAACGACATTTCACACCTCGCTCGGGGTCGCTCGGAGTCGTCGTCAAAAAGGGGAATGGCGACATTCGTGAGAAAGAGACAACAAGACAGACCCGACGCGTGACGCGAGAGAGAAATTTCCACCGCTCGTCGGCCCGAGGGTGTGTGATCTTCCAGAGCGGCAAATTTTCCAACCGGGAGAGTCTCCGTCGCGTGTTCGATTTCCATCTCCCCCCATCCTCCCCCCCCCCCCTCCCCAGCCGTTTTATGCGCGAATCGGTGAGATACGATCGAGCCTCGCCGACGAGTATAGTCGCGCCGGCGGCGCGACCGACAACGACGGGCGGCGGAGGTGTCGCGAGCCGCGGGCCGCGGGCACTAGGTGCTAAAAAGGTATTCAAAAAGTGTGTTTAATCCTGTGGTCGTGGGACAAATCGCAAGGAGACCGGCCCGCGCACCGGAGACCGCCGGCGTCTCGATCCGCGCGCGCGCGCGCGCGTCAACCGTCGAGCCCCGCGTCCTGTCTCTCTTTGCCCGCCCCCTCCCTGCTCCCCGTCCTTGGTAGACTACTACCAATTTCCACAATGTTCGTTAGCGTGTCGGTATATATCATCGTATACATGTAGCGTTGTACTTTCGTAGTAGCGTGTCAAATGTCTCCTCGTATAACGTAAAACTCTACTCCACTAGAGGCACACGTATGTTGTTTAGTCGTTCTTTCCTACGGACTTTTGTATAGGCCTTTTTGTAAGTCATCGTGTGCATGCGTGTATGTGTGTGTGCGTGTGTGCGTGTGCGTGTGTGTATGTGGGTGTGTGGGTGTGTACAGACCCGGCCCGGGCCGGGTCGGGGGAGTTCGACGGTTGGGGCCCAGATATCCCGTTCCTCCCGTAGAGCGTAGAGCGTGTCGTCGGCCCTGGGAGGGAAGTTCCTTTCGCCGTCGATTCTCGCTCGAGGCGGGAGCGGAATCTCGAGACGTCACACTCGCGTTATACTGCGAGATGCTGGCGAATCATTTTTTATACGATACTTCGGTCCAAGATGAAGCATAGTTGAAATTTAGTCGAGCGTGTCGGCTCGAGAACGCGGGGGGGGGTGGGGGGAAGGGGGAAGTCGCGCGCGGCGAGGCGGTCTCCGGGCGGGCCCGGGGGGGTGTGCAAACAATTTACAAAACCGCGGAACTAATAAGGGTAGAGACGTGGAGAGGCGAGGGGGACGCTGACGAAGAACAGAACCCTTTAGTAATATCTAAAGTTAATTGTAACTATTAACGATACGTACGACTGTGGTAGCTATGCTAGTACCTGCTATTGTTAAAGAGAAATCGAGACGAGAAGATGCGAAGAAAAAGAGAGAAAGAGGGAGGGAGGGGGAGAGTAGGGTCGAGACGAGGACGAGGACGACGATGACGAGGAGGAGGAGGAGGGGAGGGGATGCCGGGGTTGATTGAATTACACGGCATAGTGCCTCGACGTGCGTATCGACGGCCGAGCAGGTCGACCTCCGCGATACATTTTTCTGCGTCGCGAAAGTGCAATAAGGTTTCGCTTTGTCGTTTGCTGTTGATCGCGTTTCATCGCGCGTCTCGTCGTTTCGACCCTTACCGCTGGGGTGTGATCGCAGAGACCAATTGGAATTCATTTTGGCGGAGGCTACGGGGGAAATTTCGTGGAGGGGAAATCTGAAGAAGAAGTGAATTCGAGTCGGAGCGACGTGTTATTATCGGTATCGGTATCAGTCCCGAGCACTTTGGCGCCGATTAATTTCGCGCAAACACGAGGTCACGGCCGTCTCTCGTGAGTCGCATCGCAGAGATCGATGAGCCTTTTAGCTTCCGTTTATCAGCAACGATACGCACTCGAGCCATTGTGCGTCGAGCGACCAGTTTCGCGCACCGCGACCTGTCAGCGAGCCTCGCAGGACAAGCTTGCTAGCGAGCGAGCAAGCTCCATCCAAGGTCCATCCTGCGATGATTTCTTTTTCTTCGCGTCGAGGGTGTAGGTGCGTCTCTTCCCGTTTCCGCGCTCGGGACGCGAGGCACGGCGTGTTATTCTTGTAATTTTTCTAATCGCCCGCGAGCGATTCCCATTCACGCAGCAGGTTCATCCTTCGCGTGACTTGGAGGTTGCGACTAACGTCGCGGCGGGGGCTGCGAGTCCCGAGGGTGGGCGCGTACGAAGACACCCCGACGAGATCTCGAAAGTTTCGATGGAGCCCGTGCTCGCATTTTGCTGACACTCTAGGACCGGACGACGACGACGACGACGCGAAGTCTCTCGGCGGGGACGCGACGGGTGAAAAGAAGTCGATGGCGCGGATGGGAAACTTTGAAAATCATCGTCGCGCCCGCGAGCCGCGGAACTTTGCAGACTTTAAACGGGTTTCGCGCGGACTTTTGCACGGCGTGCGAATACGAATAGCGACCGGGATTCACAGAGATCGTCGCCGTCGACTTACGATTGCGCGCGGCGTTATTCGCGAGAAGTCGCGCAGACCGGCCGACGGAAATGGGAAGAGGCGAGAGAGAGGGAGAGAGATGAGAGGAAAGACGGAGCGCAAAATGTGAAACGGCGAGAGCAAGAGAGAGAGAGAGAGAGAGAGAGAGAGAGGAGAGAGGAAGAAAGCGAGATTAACACAAGAGGAGCGAGGAGGAGGGAGAGAGTGAGAGTGGCAACTCACAATGCAATAAGTCGCCAATCAAATGGATCTCGGCTTGAGACGAGAGGCTCAGATTAGCGAAGAATCAAACACGATGTATACTCTTAAAGCAAACAAAAGTGAAACTAAAGGAGATGAGAATAAAAAACAGTGATACTATAAGTAGAGGCGCGAAACACGCGCGAGTAGAGCGGCGCGGATCAACGCGAAAGGAAGGCAAGTAGCGATGGAAAGAGAGAAAAGCGAAAGAGAGAGAGAGAGAGAGAGAGAGAGAGAGAGAGAGAGAGAGATAGAGAGAGAAAGAGAGAAAAGTTAAGCGAAACTAATTAAATATTGATAGAGCATACATTGAGATACACAAAAATATATAGTATTATATACGTTTACGATACGATTATAATGAACACTTTGTAAGCAAGGAAAAAAAAATTACGCATAGTTTTCCACACACCCCGTAATGGATGTATTCGTTAAAAGGGAAAGTTCAGAAGGAGAGGCCGCACACACACGGCGACACATAAAAGTGACATATACGGTCGACGGAACATATGTACACAAACACACAGGCAAGGAAGGAAGCTTGCAAGCTGGCGCGTGCCAACACGTGCGCGTGAACATACACACATACACACGCACACAGGTACACACTCGTTCGAAGTCACTCGGGTACATACGAGAATTTACTAAAAAAAATAAATAAATAAATAAAGAAAAGTCAGTAATCTGTCTTTAAAGTATCATGTGTCTATAAACTATAGCGATCGATATTGTCTCTTACGTAAATGGCAAAAAAAAAAAATACAAATAACCGTGGTAACGTCGTGTAAAGTAGCGATAAACAAACACTCTGCAATATAATGACATAATATATATTCTTACATTTATAACGGTAGAACACGAGGAAAATGTGTGACGGGCAGCGACTGCGGCAAGCCGAAAAAGAGATCGTGTATATCGAGAGTGCGCGTCGCGGAGATATCGAGCGCGATGCCGTCATCAATCAAAAAAGAGAAAAAGGAAGGAAATTGGTCTTCTTCCCTCGGAATTGTTCCAGATAGAGAGGAGAAGGCGAGAGGGAGAGACAGACAAAAACGAAGGTCCGAGCTGAAAGCCGAGCATACCTCGATGTTATCCGCGTCGCGCACAGAGATATCACATACCACACACACACACATATACACACACACACACACACACGTATACACACCCCACACGACACATTTACACGATGTACACAAAAAGAGAGACCCAAAAAAAAGAAACTATCGACTATTCTACCAAGTAATGAATTATGAAGAGAGGATGATAATTAGATTTGTAATTAATTACATATATATTTTTCAATACTTTAACTACTTGCTGAATGTAAACTATATACATATATAATTATATATTATATATACATATATATATATATATATAAATATATATATTATATATATATACACACACCTAACGCGCGCGATGCTGCACTTTCAAATGCAGCGGCCGCGAAAGGAAGAGAAGTAAGAAGAAGAAGAAGAAGAAGAAGAAGAAGAAGAGAAAGGGAGAACGAGAAGAAGAAGGGCGGCGACGATGAAAGATCGGCTGGCGGAAGATCTCCGAGAGAGCACGAGAAGGAAAATGCAGCTTTCCCCCCGGACGGGGACTTTAGGAAAATTTGCTACGAAAGGAAGAAAGGGCGGAAGGGGAAGGTAGGTCGTCCGGCTGAAACATTGTCCTCTGATTTTCTCCGGAGAGCTTCCAGTAGAGCTGACTTTCTTCGGCGCGATCGCTCGTTTCCTGCTCGGTCGCGCGAGTCACTCGGTGGCTCGAAAGGGTGGAGGACCGAGAAAGGGCACACGAAGAGGGAGGCAGAGAGGATCGGTCATGTCTCTCGCCGCGGCGAGTCGCGCACCGAGCGGAAACGGGCGGAAAGTGCCCTTCGGGCCACGTCGAGGAGACGGAAGAGTTCTGCGAGATCTTTTTGTACCCTACCCAAGTCACACTCTCGGTGTCGAAAAAAAAAACTACGTTACACTACGTATAAGTGCATCCTAAATGTAACTGTTAATTGCCCCTATTCCAAAGCCCCCAAACCCACGCCATTTGTAGAGAGAAAAAAACATCGCGAGTGAATGAGCGTGAGAATGAGAGGGAGAGAAAGAGAGAAAAAGATGCGTGAAGCGAAAGATTCGCCGTGTGGATATACGTGCGTGCGTGCGCGAATGAATGAATGTATGAATGAATGAATGAATGAATGAATGAATACGTATATGCATGCGGAAAAGTGCGAAGCACGGGGAAGAGATACGTGTTCGTTGTTCGCCTCGGTTACTTCTTTTTTTTTTTTTTTCTTTCCTCGGTGCGGAAGCGAAGAGAAACGGGGAGAAATCTGATTTTTTCGCACGTCTATTATTGATTATTACACGTCGCATATATATATGTATGTGTATACTTTTTACGATTGTTACTGTTACGATTACCGATCATCTCAGAAAGAGACTTTCACATACACACACACACACACACACACACAGGCATACACACTCATATACCGCGCGCCTATATATATGTATATCTGTATATAGGTCCCTTCTCTCTCTCTCACCTTAACCTTGTTTCCTCCCCTTTGTTCTCCCGTCCTTTTACCTTTTACCTCTTTCCACTCTCTCCTTTTTTTTTCTTTTTTTCCTTTTTGTATGATCGAGAGATGTATTTTCTGTTGGCTTTAGATTTTGTTCCTTTATTTTTGTACGAAGACCCGACGGTAGCGTCCGTCGTTTTTACCTACATATACATATATATACATATATATATATATATATATATATATATATATATATGAATATTATAGTTGTAGTTTGCTTATAAGATTTATCATTCACCTTTCTTTTTGATAGTTTGTTATTGTTGTTTTTGTATGATATTTGATTATATAGCGGCGCGCGTCGCGTGCGCGTCGAAGAAAATAATATATAAATACTATATATATATATATACTACTATATATATTATATATAATATATATTTTTGTTAATAATACAGTGGTTTTTGATAGCTAGATTAGCCTGTTAATGATGGATTTGTTTCTGTTTCTTACGGCCCGTGAATCCGTATATACATAGACACGTGCATATACATATAGATATATATATATATATATATATATTACACATAATAATATATATATATATATGTATATATAAATACATACCTAATATAAATATCGATTATATATAAATATACATATATCGCTACATTATATTTTGTTTAACAGTGTCACGAAGCGACGATGAGGCGTTTCTTGAAATTTGTCGAGCGACTAAGGGGCTCCGACACGAAAATATTGATATCGAAACTCGCGTGTAATATAACTTATAATATCATTTTGTAAATTATTTTTTGTATTTTTATATATATACATATATAAAATAACGAAAGCATACAAAAGAGGGTCACGGGACAGTGTAATGCGCACGGCGAGTGAGAAAGAAAGACCGAGCGAGAGGGAGAGAGAGAATGTGAGAGAGAAAGAGAGAGAGAGAGAGAGAGAGAGAAGAGAAGAAGGAAAACGTTCAAAACGAGAGGGGAGAAAAGGGAGACCCACGTGACGCATTAATTAACACTGACGATACTTAATCAGTCGCTGATAGTCCTTTCGTTGATCGAGAGCGACGCCAAGATTATTGAAACGACTATGGAAAAAAAAGAAATAGAAAAGAGCGGCATACATTGCGCGTATGCGACGTTTGTAAAACTATAATGCGAATGGTAACACACGTATGAATATACACGTATGCGCATATACGCGTACTACTGAACACACACACACACACACACACACACACATACAATTTAATTTTACTACGACACGCCAATCCCGCGAGAATTTATACTTTGTTCCCGATTATTTGTACCTCTCTGTATGTATGTATTTTGCAGCTTGTCAGTGCTTTTTCGTTTATTATTACATATTTTAAATATTAATTACACCGTCTTTTTGTACCAGTTTCTCATTTCGCCGTCGAGACCTCGCCAAGACCTCAAGTATTGTCGGGAGTTCTCGGCGACATTGCTGATAACATAGTGAGAATAGTGCGCAACGCCTCCGAAAGAAGCGCGCGCTCGGCCTTCGATCTCGAGCCGACCGCGGATCATTATTGGATAACCTCGCAAGCGACTTAGAGTCGTGCATAGCCAGTAATCAGATTATTATTTTTCGAGCAAGCAAACACACGATCGGACAGCGAATAAGTAAGAAAGTTGCATGTTAGACTCTAGAGCTACCCTCGACCGCGGCTTTCGGCGAGAGCCAAACTCCGTGCGTTATCGTCCGAATAATCACCGTCAGTCACTGCGAGAAAGAAGAGAACGCATCAAAATTTACCCCCTAAACGAAGAGCATATTTGCCCCCTCCGAAAGAGAAAATCACGCACACGCAGAAGAAGCGTCACCGCGGCTCTCGCGGGCGACGCACGGGAGAGAGTGTTTGGTTGGAATGAAAGAAACGTTTTCTCTCTCTCTTTCTCTCTCTCTCTCTCTCTCTCTCTCTCTCTCTTTCTGGCGAGAAGCATGAACGATTCCGAAATTCCGCTTGGACCGCTTGGCAGAATTCAGTCCAAATGATCGAGATTTCCGATCATTTCTGATCTGGACGGAATCCCGGCGTCTTCAAGCGGAATTTCCGAGCCGAGTTCGTCCTCCGCCGGGAAATCGCTTCACCACCCAACCAAACATTTTTTCCCGCGCGATACCTTTCGCCGCGAGATCACGACTTGTTCTCTCTCTCTCTCTCTCTCTCTCTTCTCGACTGGCGCAAGCATCCGGCGGAATTGTCCCGCGTCGGGTAAGGGCCGGTCCTCGCGCAAAGTCCTACGCGGTCGAGGGTGAAATTTCGTGTTCGCTCGCGAGCGCGTGCAAGAAGAACGCTCGCGCGGTCAGCTCGGCGCGCGTCCCGCGCGGAATTGCCGCCGCGGTGCGACGTGTTTGGTCGTATCGTGAATTAACCGCGACGGTATCTGAATAATTGCGACGGGTATAATCCGTCTGGTGAGCGAGCAACTGATCGCTCGTAATTGATCTCGAATTCCCAAGCGCCGTCTGTTCGAGTCCTCCTCTCTCGAGTCGAGCTCGGCAGACAGCGACGACGACGCGGCGGCGGCGGCGGCGGCGGCGGCATTTGCGTTGCCGATTACTCTCGCGGCAGGACTCGATGAAGCGACGAGAGTCCTCCGTCGCGCGCTCGCGCGAGCACGGACGCGGCAGCGATTGTCGAAAGTAAATAAATCAAAACGCGCGTGCGCGCGCGGCGACGTGTTGTCATTTCGCAGTGTTTCGCCTCCATCCTTGAGTCGGCGGCCCGTGGCTTTTCGCGAAGCTGCTTGGAGATCCGTCGAGAAGTTTCAAGAAATTTCGTTTCATGCACGGGAGAACGAGGGAGGTGAGAGGAGCGCTGAAGGAGGGAGAGAGATGCGACGGGGTCTCCGTGAGAGACTTGTGTGCGTGCGTGCGTGCGTGCGTGTGTGCGCTGTGTGTGAAGAAGGGTATGAAAGACCGAGCGTGCGTGTGTATGTGTGCGTGTATGTGCTGGAGAGAGAAAGAGGTGTACACTTTTCGTGAACGTTCTTTCTTAGTTTCTCATGCAAGCACGGTGGACGAGGGTGGTAGCCGATCGACTCGTTATCCTGGATCGAAAGCGTCGGTCGTGCCGATCTCTCGTCGTTCGCGCGTCGTTGGCCGCGGCCGAGACTCGGATCCTCCTCGAACGACCCTCTAGCGGGGCCTAAATCGTCGCACTATTAGTCCTGCGTGACACCGAGAGCGGCCAT